AATAAAAATACGTTATTTCAATTTAAAGTGAGAATCCCACAATAGCTCTTCGAAAATCGTCACCTTTCTATTGGTCTATTTTTTGTTTATTAAGAATCACTGTCTTCACAGTTGTATCGTGATTGCTTGGACACACTGTATATCGAATAGTATGTGTATATACGTATATGTACCTAGAACGAGGTATGGTATTAGGGATGAGTGAACAGTTGGACTGATTTAAGGGAGCAAATTTGCGAGTTACCTTCACCACGGCCAGACCCGCAGCAGCTACACGACAGCTCCTTTCACAGCCTAGCACTGCATGCAACAGAGATCCTAATCGGGGTTCTATCGCGATCAGTGCAGAAGACGTTCGCAGAGCGGACGCCACCCTCTCCAAACCCCTCACGCGGGCTCGCCAATCATCCTGGAAATAGATCGAATCGTGAATAATTGTAAACGAATACGCAGAAGGCTGCTTGAATAATTTTTTTAGATAATTCTTTACAATTCTGTTCTGATACGTATGAAAAAAGGAATTGAAAGAACGATATCCATATACATTTGGTATTTCGTGTTAAAAACTTTCATTAACAGCATTTTTCTATTTACTTACTGTAGGTAAATGAATTTTAAATATAGATATATTCACGAATAAAGTGTTTCAATTATCTGTTAATGAGATAATGGAATGCATACAGTAATGACGTTGTTTTTATCTACTAATATACACGCTTGATTGCACGAAGATTTACTAACATTGTTGCGTGTTATCAATCTACTTACACGAGGCTAGATTATATGCAACATGCCTGGCTAGTTTAATTTTTCTTTCTTGACAAAAAAAAAAGCGCAGACGATACTAATCATTTTATTCCTGGGGCAGGAGGCTCGTCAGACAATGAATGTTCAAGTAATACGTGTCTGTCTTTATTAATTTTTCAATTTCACTTGTGAATACATTTGTCGTTCTTACTTATATAACTATAGAAATGTTTGATAATATTGTCGGTATTTTATAATCTATGCCTCCATTTTTGTCAAGTACTATCTAAAAAAATAAAAATTAAATTATTTCAAAATTGCAATATTTGAAAATATTTAATATTTTAATATTGACGCTCGTCGATTTTTTTCAACTGAAGCATAGACCATTCAATTAAAAAAAATATTAAGTACAAACATAAATATGAGGAACATTCAAGGTTAGGTTAGGTTAAATTTGAAAGGTGTAAGTGGGAGAGAAAAATGCGTAGCATATATTAAAAGTCAATTCATATGAAAAGTATCATTTATACGTAATGCCGTGTTGGTCAAGAAACAGTAGCTGTCGAGTGAACATTATCGATCGTGGCTGTAAGTCTGAATGCAATGCACTGGTAACATCTACATTCACTTTTCGATTCGGCTCTATTTACACGGAAGTGATCAATATTATCGACTTTTCATAATTTCATTGCCTTGCAGAATTTATGAAGTGAGATTATCTCCCTCTCAACAACCTCAACATATTTTTCTACTAAATTATCGTTCATTATTTGATACTGTTTCGTAGAAACCTCGAATGTTGTAGGTACATATATTTTTTAGAAAGAAAATTTTTATTAATGTTCGACTAAATTAAACATTCTTCTTGTACAAAAAAATCGTGTAATTTTATTCAAATACAATAAAATTTATAAAATGCGTCACATTTTTGCAATTCAACATGTGTCATAATTTTAAATATTTCAAGACTAGGATATGTTAAAGAATGCTAAAATGACCGTTAATTTGCAGGTACATATGTACATAGAAATTACGTTTCAAC